GCCCAGAGAAAACGTTAATTTGTGTGTAATTTAATTTATAATGGAAGCTACACGCAAGTGATTGGGTGCTGTATTTATTCTAACCTCATCAATTTACAAGTGTCATGTAGATAATCATGAACCCTGATCCTCGGCCTCCCACGTGCTCCTGACATTTTAAATCAACCGTGATGAAACTTCTGACACTCTCACTTCCTCCTCGCTTTAGCAGCCAATTACGTTGTCTTGGCCTGCAACTACCAAGTTCAAAACTGGCGCTCTTTTATTTTGGCGGGCACCTGTAAATCAACACTGTGTGCTTTTTGCAAAAACCGCAGTCTTCCTGTCTGCCAACACCCAAAGGATGTACGGGGAACTGTTGGTTGGTTGGTGCGGTGCGGACCCCCACCCTAGTGTGCCCAGACACGCACGCGCGCACACACACACACACACAGAGATGTTTTGTTAACGGTTTCCATTTTGACAGTTGAAACGTTAAATAGCAATTACTCATTGACTTTTCAGCCTCCAATAATTTGCAGGCAAAATATCTGTGGTTGAGTTTCTGTTGGCCGTGTGAATATTCTCATTTTCCAAAAAAGGAAAAAACAAATGACTGGCTAATTAGAGTTCCAACTGTCACATCTACTGATCAGGCTACAGTTTATCATCATTATAGAGGGGGTGGTGTGTTTGTGTCTTTGAAGTGACAGCGCTCTGTTTCCTGCATTTGTCAACGTCCATAAATAAAAAAGCAAATTAATTACTCGTCAATGTCCACTGTGTCATTTTTGCTTTTTCTAACGGTTTTCTTTGTCCACTTCTAGCTGCCAGTGAAGGCGGAGCAAACGTCTTCACCGTGTCCTACTTCAAAACCAGCGCCTACCTGGCCCAGTCCCCCCAGCTCTACAAGCAGATGTGCATCTGCGGGGACTTTGAGAAGGTCTTCTGTGTGGGGCCGGGTGAGAACGCCACACACACACACACACACACACACACACCCCATTCGCTGGTTGCAAACGGCGTATAACGAGCAGTAGGGCATCGCGAAAAGCGCGGAGCGCATTAACTGTGACGACACACGCGGGTTGTTAAAGCCCCTGACAGACTTCCCTCTGCTGCGTTCACCGTGGTGCGAGCTGCTGTGGAGCTCGCAGCGTCAGTGACCCATGGGGACTAGTCTTGAGAGACCCCTGGTTCTTTAGGGGAGCAAACACTGCCACCATCTGATTGAAATACGTACATTACATAACGAAAGCAGCCAGCGTGAATACAAAACGTGCTGTGCCCGGCCTTCCATATTGAGTCGACACACAATTCCGGACCGTAATCGATAAAGCCTTTGAGAGACGGGCGCTCGCTCATTCTGCCTACCGAGCGGAGGTCTTTGTTTGTAGCTCTGCAGGAGAAATCAAAGCGCTTAAGGTCATCTCTGCTTCTAAGCAGCAACAATGTGCTCACCATTGTTGCCTTAGTTACAGTCGCACAACTTCTGCAAGGAATCAACTCCACCCGGGCAGAAATATTGCGTTTTTTTAAATGGCTCTGGAGTTTATATTCTTTTCCCTTAATGTATGTCCTGCTTATTGAACCGTGCCGTTTCCAGATGAAACTATGCTAAAACAGAAGTGTGTAGGCATGAAACATCCGTACTCAGGGCTGCGTTTTATAGCTCTCTCTCATTGTGACACTGTGTGCATGTGCACATACCTGGTTGCGGCAGCATTCGGCCTTATGCGGGACGAAGACGCACCCTTAATCCACCACTTGCGTGCAGACTGCTCCACCTGTCTAAAGACCTGTAATTTAAAAAAACAGACAAGCTCATTAGTACGGCCCGCCGACATTCAGCAGTCATCCCCTTAGTACAACTACACTGCACAACTCGGGCTAATTATACCCTGGTTATTAGTTTATTGTACCTTCAGTGATGTTCTAGCACCAATAAATGATGGAATGAAGACGAAATGAAAGTTCCTGAAGACGTAAAATCTTTGCAATAAAATGATCAATATTGTGGCACCAATGGGGTAAAATTAGTTTTTTTTTCTTTCTATCCATGCTGCCCAGAAACAAATAGTGAATCGTGCTCCAATGAAGCACACGGTCTTCAACCTCATGACATTTCAAGGGACGATGCTGAATTTAGTGGTTCGATTTGTTAACTTGGATTTCCCTTTTTTTGAATACAGTTCTAGATTGCGAACTGGTCAGGTGCTCTTTTTAAGGATGCTGACATTAAATCTGCATCCCATCAGTTTTCAGGGCGGAGGACTCCAACACGCACCGCCACTTGACCGAGTTTGTGGGTCTGGATATTGAGATGGCCTTCAGCTACCATTACCACGAAGTGATTGACTCAATCACCGACACCATGGTGCGGATCTTCAAAGGCCTGAGAGACAAGTAAGATTAGGATTCAGCTCGCCAGCGATGGGTTTTGTAGCACTTTTGTTTTGTCAGCTCCGCTGTGGTATCTGAGGTGTAAAATTCAGCTGATGACAGAAAGTAAAATATTTAGTTTTTTAGATGTTAAATCCACAATGAGTGTTGTCCCCCATTGCTCTATGTTTAAAGCCATGTGGCGTTATTGCCTCCTAGTGGTGTGACTCGGTGCAGCATGCACAGAGCTGGTGAAGCTGAATAAACAAGCCAGTGCTTAAAGCTCTTCTGGTACGCATGTTGATTATTTTTTTTTTCCACTCCATCATCACAGTGGCACTGCTGGTTTGTGCCAGTTTATCGTTACCCATTTAATTGTTTTTTTTAATGAGAGGATTCTGTAGCTGCACTTATAATGGTAGATTACAGCAGCTGGCAGGGTTGGAAGTAAAGAATGTGGGTAAATCTGGCTGGTTGGCCGGAAGACGGGGGCTTGACGTGCGCGTGCCTGCCTGCCTGTCTTCATCAGCTTCCAGACGGAGATCCAGACGGTAAACAAGCAGTTCCCCAGTGAGCCTTTCAAATTCCTGGAGCCCACTCTGAGGCTGGAGTACACGGAGGCCGTGGCCATGCTGCACGAGGCCGGGGTGGAGATGGGTGACGAGGAGGACCTCAGGTCAGAACACTTCACGTCAGAAATAAGACAAAAGTTTAGAGAGGAAGTAAAACATTGACCAATAACTTTCTTTTTTTTAAATAAAACACTTCTTTTATCATGCTATTTGTGTAAAACCACTACAGGAAAATGTGAAACCATAAGCTAAAGTTTGTCTTTTTGGTTTTTCTAATAGTACGCCCAATGAGAAGCTGCTTGGACGCCTGGTCAAGGAAAAGGTACGTTTCATTTGTTGTCATAAAAATTGATGGGTTGCAGGATTACAATGAGCACCTTTAAACGATAAAGAAATATAGATTATTTACAACTGGGAAAAGGTCCTCATCGCTGCAGTGTTTTCATAAGCTATAGTGCAGAACAGACTGGATTTTCTTTTGTGTGCCCTCCCCTCAGTATGATACTGACTTCTATGTGCTGGACAAGTACCCGCTGGCCGTGCGACCCTTCTACACGATGCCGGATCCAAACAACCCCGTAAGTCTCTCCCCTCCTCGTACTCACTGTTATTGGCTGCATAGTAAGAAATGTGCCTTCACGAATGTTATCTAAATTCTTGCAAATGAGTCGACCTGTGGTTAAACTCGTCTTCCTGCCAGAAAGCAGCTTCGGGATAGCCAAAGTCTCCTCGGCAGCCTGTCCAGCCAGCTGTATTTAAGAACTGAAAAACAATCAGAAATGTTGCTGCAGAAGTGAGAGACACAGCAATGTAGTCATGAAGAATTCTACTAAAACACCTTTTTTAGCGTCAGGAGAAACCTGCGAAATTGTTTTTGTTGGAACGGTATCACAGGATTCTCCCATTTAATTCTGTACCAATGTGGTCGCACGTTGATCCGGAACCCTAACCCTAACCCTTTCAAAGTCTTCCTCCATCGTCCGTTTGTCTTATTCCCCCTTTGAGGATTCTTGACCCATATAGGTGAAATATTTCCTTTTGTTTTTTGCCAGAAATACTCCAACTCGTACGACATGTTCATGCGGGGCGAGGAGATCCTGTCTGGAGCTCAGAGGGTCCACGACGCTCAGTTGCTGACCGACCGGGCCAACCATCACCAGATCGGTAAGAGTAGTGTGTCGAGATGGCGCCGATGAAGAGGCAATAAGTGATTCACAACAGCAGGAAACATGATGGATCAGTGGCAAGTGAAAAAAAAATGTTTACGATGTTACAGATCTGGAGAAGATCAAGGCTTACATCGACTCCTTCCGGTATGGAGCTCCACCACATGGTGGTGGAGGCATTGGTAAGGAGTACCAGTTTATTTTTTGGTTTTCCGTTTCATTCAACTCAGATGACCTGCATGGAAATGATATTCTGTATGTGAATATATTTGACTGATCCGTCACGTCTCGCAGGCCTGGAGAGGGTGTGCATGCTGTACCTGGGCCTCCACAACATCCGTCAAACCTCCATGTTCCCCCGTGACCCGAAGCGCCTGACGCCTTGAACTCTAAACAACTTTAGACGAAGCAGAGGCTGCTGATGGAGGAACCACTCTAATCCACAGTTCAGAAAGGGGGAGAATAGAGGAGTCGGTGCCACCACGATTAACCATAAAGATGAGTGAAGCAGCTGTAGGTAGTACTTTATTGTCTAGGAACAGCAAATAAGAGAAGGGGGAGGGTATTGGGGAAGTTCATCTCGTAATCTAGCCAGTGTTTGTCTACGTCATACGTTCTTTTCTATGGAGATCTTTAAAGAAAATAAATCCCTTCTACTACCAGCACAGGCGGAGTACTAACGACTACATGTTTTGTACATCTTTAGAGGACTAAATGCAAATAATTAAAACTTCTGAAACTATTTACCTTTTCCGGCCTTGTTTTTGTGTAATTGCCTCTGAATTCACCACAGAGGGACATCTGACGTAAGTTGAGACTAATGCTTTCTATAAATGTGTCCAGTGATTTCATTTCTCCTTGCGATGCACAATCAACTGAAATGAAAAGTAAGGACATAAGATGAAATGATCCCCATACGTATGCTTTAATCCCCCCTCATTTACAGTTTGACAGGTGAAATGCAGACACTCCTCACAGTGCAAGAATAAAAGTGCTCATGTGTAACTGAAATACAAAAATATTAACATTTCTGAATCAACACTTGTTTACATGCATCATTGTGCTCAGTGTCAGAACACTTAAGCGGCTTCTCAATCAGTAGCACCGCCGCTGACCTGAAGGATGAATAGAAAGATGTGAACAATGTCAATATAAAGAGAGAGCGCTCCATAGATGTACTCCTCTGGGCTGATGGCCAGCTCCCGATTTCCAATAAGGAGCTGGGTGTTGTACACTAAAAACTAACAGAAAAGGGAATCATTTTTTAGTGCCAAGGTAGGAAGGGAGACACACGCATCAGCTAAAAAGCTGAGACGCTCTTCAATTCATGAGGGTTCAGACTCACCAGAGTGTAAACGATGGCTCCGATTGCGGCGTAGAGCATATGCAGCCAAGGGACCTGATGAGTGACACGAGAAAGGCCTCTGAATGTGGAATCGGTCGCAGCGATACACTCCGCTCCTCACACCGAGAAACCCGAGCGGAGAGAAGGAAATGAAAGCATTTGACCGAGAGGGTCCCTCACGTATTGGAAGGAGAGGACGACGGCGGCGACGATCCCGATGATCATGAGCACAGCGGAGGCGATGCAGAGGAGTCCCCCGCAGGAGGTGAAGTCCACCTGCAGAGGGAAACGAGGGAGGAAATATGTGCTCAATCGTAGGAAAGAAAATCTGAATCGGGGAGGAAAACAAAATATTTCCGGATGTGTCGTTTAACAGCAAAGAATTATATTTCTTTGTCTTGAGTTAAATACGGTGGAGAGGTTTGATGCACATGTTATCCCAAAATGATGATAAATATTTGAAAGGAACTCAGGGCCCCGTTGTAACGCGAGACAAAGGCGTTCTTTCACACGGACAACCAAGACAAGCCACCGCCTACTGAGCTGCAGAGAGACACACACTCCACGTCTCCTTCTACCTTGGTTTGGAAGCAGAAGACTGTGACCGCTATGCAAACCAGTGCAGTTATTCCCATGGCCAGAAACACTGCCTTTGTTTCGTAATAGCTGTAAAATATATAAATATTGATTAGAGCAAAGCCCAGGGGTAACACGGGGTGTAAATGCATCATCAATGTGGGGTATTGCCAGAGTTTGAGCCAAAAAACTGACCTTGAAATCGTCCCGGACATGTAAGACAAGGCGAGCGTCTGCAAGATGGAACAAAAAAAGTGACTGGGTTGGAGCCTTTGTTTTTTTCTTCTTACTGGCTCTTTGTTTTGCTTTTATTATTCCAGTCGCTCCTCACAGATCTCCTTGGTTTGGCTATAAAGGCTCTGGTGGATCACACCCAATGTTGCCTTCCGAACAAACATCCATGACAAAGAATACTTACAAATATTCCCAGCAGCAAAAGATTCCATGGGAAGCGCCTCCTGGACACAAGACGTGAGGAATATTTAATAAGTTCACACACTCAAGTATGATTATTGTTTACGAATATTAATATAATTTTGTTACTAACTTAGAAATAGTTTTTCATATGACAATCTTACCTCGGCCCTTTGCAGCAGACGAGAATGCAGTAAACTATAAAATAAACCACACTATGGAAAGATAAATCACTATGATTGTTGCTTTATATAACAGTGTGTCATGGAACAAATAAAAAAAAGCAGAGAGAATATTGTTGGATCTGGGGAGATGAAAGTATGTTATTGCTTTGTTCCTGGAGTGCAACTCACAAAGATGCCCAGTAGATGCCGGGGTATCTGATGACAAATAGCCTCACTGGGTCACTATGAATGCAAAGACATGAGGGATCCCTCTGAGTAAACGGTTCTTCACCCTTCACCAGATGCATTAAACTCTGGAATATTAGACCGTGATAAAGAAGGGACACTCACACGAATGTAAAGACGCCGACAACCGAAAAGGTGACGGCAAGCTGTGCTGTTAAAATGAAGTAAACCTGCGCCGCAAACACAAAACCCAAGTTCTATTGAGCGCACAAGGAAACCTTTCAGTGGTTACAGAAAGACACAAAGCAAAAAAAGCTTTTGTGTTACACGGCCAGTGATTTCAATCGATACCTTTCTGATGAAGGCATGGCGAATGGATGTGCTCTCCCACCGAGTGCTCAGAAAATCCTCCATGTCTCCTGCGGGATCGGGAAGAACAAAGTGGCAAATTCAACGTAAAGCAAGACGTGGAAGAACCGTAAGTCCCGTATCATCTCCCCAGGACCTTGGTTGGATGGAGGCACTCCGGCAGACAGAGTGGGTATTGTGGAAGGCATCCCGGGCGGAGGGAGGCCCGGGGATGCCCACATCGGGTAGACGCCCTCCTGACCCCAGTAGCCGGGCGGGCCGGGGGACGGGCCCGGACCGGGGCTGTAGGACGGAGGTGGTGGAAGAGGGGAGCCACGCTGTGGCTGGTCGGGGTAGTTGCCGTAGTTGGGATGGTGAAGCGCATCCTCGTACGACGGAGGGTTATCGGTTTTAGACGTCATGATCTTTACGTAGAGAGAGAGAGAGAGAAGAAGCAAGCAGGCGTGATACATTTTTGACAGGTGAATTTATATATCTCACAATGCACACGTTATTTGTACTTGCCCAATCAATTATTATGCACTTACATTTTTTGTGGTCACGATTGTAAAAAAGGAAATCTGCTTATTGTAACATTATTATATCCAAAAAGCTACATCACAATTAATCCATCTTCGTAATAAAAAAAAGAAAATCATGTAATTATCTGCTGGAAAAAGATACGTCTGTACACAAATAGATACATATCAAATAACTTAGTAACTTAGTCAAAATTGTATAGGAACAGACACAAATTATAAGATTAACCAACAAATAGGAATGAAGAAAAACATGTAACTCACCTGGCGGTTTCTAGCCGTGAATGGGATCACTGTCCCAGTCTGTCCTTTCTCCCTTTGGAGATTTGCAGGCTAACACCACAGGTGGATGTCATCATTGTAATAGGATATGAACGCAGAAACTCACACTGCTACTGATGTGTATCACAAGAGCACGGTGACTCCGGTTGCTCAAGCTGCTGTTCAGGGAAAAAAACAGGAGAAATACAGCTGAATGAACAAACCTCACAGGATGTTGTGGCCTACATAAAATAATAGTATACATGGGGTATTTATGTAGTTACACTACTCCCAACATTTAGTTTTCTTTTTTTTAACATTTAATTTTTTTGAAAGCGTAGTCCAGACGATATGATTTTTTACACAGAGCTATAATATATTATTTCCTCTCCAAGTAAACTTAAATGTATCTCAGAATATTAGGCTTTGCTAAATTATTAAAGGTTTCCCAAAACAACAATTCTGTATGGATGCCATATAAATAATTCAAATGACTTAGTATGACTTAAATAAATTGAGTAGTTAATGCTGTGCTAAAGCCTTTGAGTAGGCCTATGAAATTATGTTGCTCCAATGGAATTCATTTGAGGTATTGTATCACTCTTTAAGCACTCTATTGGAGTACAATGAAACGTGAAAGAGATTGCCTATTATATTTTTTCACAATTACCGCTATTTTTATGTCGTACTTTTTTGTTGATGTTGCATCTCCTCTCCACAGATATTATAATATCTATGCTCCTCACTTCCGGGGTCGGCGTGCGCGTCGCGCTGCGTCTTTACGTCACGCTCAGACGCTATGGCGCTTCCTGATTGGATTGTAACGCTGGTGGCCACCGCATCCTTTTGCTTTTTCTTGTATTTATGTATTCTCCACAGACGCAGAGGACAAGCACTGTGGAGAAAGCTGTTGAGCAAACTAATGGCCCGCTCAGAGAAGCCGCTGTTCCGAATTGCGTGAGTATGACCGGACGGTCCTTGTTGAAACAACGTTTTGTTTTTCATACACCGCGATTATTCTCGTAAGCACAGCTGCGCACAATCAAGCCAGTGTTATGGATAGAGGCCGACCGTATATGCATTCACACGTGAACCAAGTATAAGTTGCGTTGACGAACGACAATATAGCCACCGTTTTATTCGCCGTTACAGGAAACGACGTGTTTTATAATCCTAACAACCTACGAATTGTCAGCTACTTATAGCTTAAGATAAAAATGTCGCTGTTGTGTTTGTGATTTTATTTGATCGGCTATGATCACGTCACGTGACACAGAGGAGCCCGAAACTACACAACAAGTGAGACGTCTGTGACGCTTCTGTTTGCTATGACGTCACGATGTCACTAAACAGACGCTGACACGACGAGGTTGAAAGTATCACCGTGTGTCTCTTTTTTTTGTCTTTGTACCTGTCCCCCAGGTACGCGCTGTACACCAAGACTGCACTGGGCTACATGTACTACAAGAGACAAATGAGGAAAGCCCGAGAACAGTTCCCTGCTGGACACTCGGCGGCTCGGCCCACAGAGATGGACGGTGCGCAGCAGCCCCGAGTTCACTGTTTAACACGCCTGCAGCGTGCCGCTCATGTGTTTTTTGAGACACGAGATGCTGAAAAGAAATGGGCCCTGCTTGGATGGGTCCAATATGGCCCCTTGTGTTTTACAGGATATTGAAGGAATACGTCAATGTAATGCTTTCATTCTGTTCCTCCTTATGTCTGCCTTCCAGGTATCAAAATAATTCCAATCCCGGTCTTGTCCGACAACTACAGCTACCTTGTAATCGACACGACCTCCGGTGTCGCGGCCGTTGTCGACCCTGCGGATCCTCAAACAGTCCAGGTGAACGGCTGAATTAACGCTCTGACGGTGGGCGCCTTACGCCTGGATCACGGTTACCATGCAGATTATGAGCAATAACTGCAGCCGTCTTTGTTTTGGAGGCAATCGCTTGACTTGTTGAGCGACACAATGCCACGGTGATTTTATTGCCACACCATCTTGGCTGAAATGAACGGCTGTGAAGTATGATTTTGTAGGTGAATTGAACCTCAAAAGAGACCAAATATATACTGAAATTCTTATGTGGGTCACAAAGTAAGATTAGTTCTAGCATGGTACCATGGATGCTTTACCAATTTGAATACATTTTACAAAAAGTGAAAGCAGATCTGAAAGCAGATGGATATAATGGGACCAGGAAATCTGGTGCGGCCGTAATTGTAGACGACGAACCATATTTATCTGTGACAATGATCCCTTTCTTTTGTTTAGTCTGGTTCAATGAGAAGAGGTGAAGGTTGTGGAGAATGTAAATGTTAAAGCCACAGTGTATAAATAGTCAGAATCATTTTGCTGCTCGGTTGTCTTGAGAAGTTGCTGCTGAACTGTTTGATGTGGTTGTTGAAAGTTGTGATCTTTTTATTATTTTTCAGGCAGTTCTCGAGGAAGAGGGAGTAACTTTAGAAGCAATACTCTGTACACACAAGCATTGGTAAGGTTTTAATAGATTTTTCACACACATTGGGACATTGATTGGGCTCAATGTACCACTTATGACATATTAGATATTGTCTCAGGTCAATGCAGCTAAACCTGGTGTTTTTCGGCAGTCAAATGTTGTTTTTTTTCTTATTTAACATGTATTCTACTTGATCCAAAAGAAACGACCACAGTAAAGATTACATTTATCAGCCAGATCTTCTCTCCAGACTTTATCTAAAACAAAGAGGAAAAACTGCTGATTGTAGATTTTGTCACGTGTGCACAATGCTGGCAAATCCTTTTCTCTGCGTTGCACTTTACAGGGATCACAGCGGCGGAAACAAAGGGTTGAAAAGGATTCACGCTGCATGCAGAGTTTATGGAAACGCGGCTGACAACATTCCTGGCCTTACGCAGTAAGTTCCTGCTTTCCGCAGAATTAGTCTGACTGTACTCCGTCTTGTTCCCCGTGTTAGCATTAGTAGCAGCTGACTACATGGAATGTTATCATAGTGTGCTGAGCGGGTCTGTTATGCCTTTGGGGGAGCAGGAGGAGGCTAGACTTAATCCAAAACCACTGTATAACCACTGTATTTATTTTAACGATGACCATTCTCTTCCAGAAAAGCCCTTGTATTTTCTTTTTTTTTTTTTTTAGGAATAAACCCCCACGTCTTTCGTTTTCCTCATTTTTGTCGTTTCTATTTTCCTGTTCCCAGCCCTCTGTCACACGACGACTCTGTAACGGTTGGCCGCATGCACTTTAAGGCACTCTTCACCCCTGGACACACAGTGGGCCACATGATCTACCTCCTGGATGGCCAGGCGGTGGATGCACCCTCCAGCCTCTTCTCTGGTGACCTGGTCTTCCTGTCAGGATGTGGTGAGTTATGACGGGCCGTTGCCCGTGCATAGGATCACACGAACTGACTCTGCATCGTGTTTTTATGTAGAGTACAGAGGAGACCGAAAATACACAACAAGTAAGACATCAGTGATGCTTCTGTTTGCTCTGAAGTCATGATAAACATGACGTGGGCCACTGAACGACAGTGAGGAGGTAATGAGTTGGCAGTTTAAAAAAACAAAAAGCCACGTTAGAAGAATTCCGTAGGGTTCGGCGATATTCGAAGTCCCCAGCTGAGAAGAGAGACATGCATAGAAAATAGGCATTCATGGACTGCATTATGCTGCAGTACCCACAAGTGTCCACACAGTGGCCACAATGCATAAGCAGTAAGCACAATTTTACACAACGTGCTGAGATCGAATTTTAATCTCGATCAATCACCTCAAAGAAACGGGCCGTGCACAGCTTGAACACTGTTTTGTATTTCGTTGCCTTTGCAAAAAGCCCCAATGCTTGAGGGTTGATTTGTCACCATGATGGGAGTTCGTTTGTATTCTCTTTATTCTTTTGGATTGTCAGTTTAAATATTAAAAAGTTGCGGTGGTTTCATCTTTTCGTTTCGGCTTGTTTGTCGCGCGGCTTACAGATAACTGTTCACATTCTCTGGCTCTCCTCCTTTTTTGTTTTGTCTTAAAAACCAAAGTATCGCCTTAACTGAAAACCACTAAAATGCAAATCCTAACCATTTCCTCAGAAAAAGCCTTTTATTTCTGCTTTGCAAATCGCAATGCAACACAGTGTCTGTTCTTAAATGCAAGGTGATCTAAATCTCCTTACAGCGCGCCTAATGTTGAATACATGTTTTGTTATAATGTCATTGCTTCTCCCTTTGTTGTTTTTACTCACTTGTTCCTTGGGGGGAAAATGCATTTAATTACAGGGAAATTGCAGGTCTCTAAGAAATCACTAACTGTACAAATGTATTGAAATTCATATTCTTATAAAATACGCCTTGCGTATAGTCGTAGGAGTCTTTTTGTTTCATCCTAAAATAACATTTGTGCTCTGTTCTGCGGTAGAGTTTTATACAAAAAGCTTTAATAAACTCAGCCAAACAAAGTCCCTCTTTTACGAAGGAATTTGCTGAGATGTAGTTCCGAGGAACTGACCAATTCAAAGAATTTCAGATTCACACAGATCCTGTTTACTTAAGTTAAGTCCTTTCTGCCTTTTTAGGGAGGATGTTTGAAGGCACCGCCACAACAATGCTGTCATCTCTGGACACAGTGGCCTCCTTGGGTGATGAAACACTGCTGTGGCCTGGTAGGAAAACCCTCTCCGTTGTCAGCGACTCGGTGTCCGACAAGTGCGTCAGTGTTTAGAGTGATGCCCACGTGCTGTGGCTTCATTTCTGCACTTTTGACTTGGACACACTGCAGCAGTCCAAAGTCCCACTGGAGGTTTGCGTGTCCTCCGGCTGTCTCTCAGGTCATGAGTATGCGGAGGACAACCTGCTGTTTGCCGCTGAGGTCGAGCCGCGCAACGCCGCCAGAGAGGAGAAATCTCAGTGGGTCCTGCAGCAGCGCAGCCAGAAGCTGTGCACGGTGAGAATGACATATTGCCGTCGTTATGCCTCTGTACCACGTCGCCCCAGAAGAGTGATTCATGCTGCCCGGCACCGGGGACGGAGGGTTTATCACCTACGTACAGAGTGTGTGTGTGTGTGTGTGTGGCAGCGTTCCTTCTCCAGGCTCACAGTCAAATCTGCTCTCCAAAACAGTCAGTAGCGACTGTTCACAACCTGGACTAGTTTTTATCTGCCATCTATGCCGCTTCACACATTTGTAATAACAGGCCTTTTTTTAATTATTTTTTTTACACCCATCTTTTAGCTTGTCAGCAGGAGAAGCACAGGTGTTACAGAGGACATTAACGATGGCTTCAAGTGTCCCAGTGAGCAAGCGTGGACAATAGCAGGAGCCTGAAACTGAAGCATTGTAATGGAAGCTATCCATCATTCCTTTTTAGTGTTTAGCCCGCTGCTTTCTCTACGTTGTGTAACATAAGATAAGACGATCCTTTGAGGAGAGCTGCACAACGACATTCCCATTAACACTTGAGGCCTTTTGTTTGACTTGCTTTTAATTCCTCTGAACCAGGGTTTAATCATCTGCGTGGATTAACTCGGGCAACGCTCGTTTGCAGCGGGCCGCTCACTCGTTTACTCCGAAATAGACCAGATGAATTGTTCATGTGACCCACGCACACAGGCATAAAGAATTCCTTTAAAGTGGGAAGATGATGCAACAGCGTCACCTATTGGCTAAATGGTACTATGTCATGTGTCCTTTAGTAATACAAGCCTTCCTCCCGGCAGCAAAACTGCATGGCACAGAAAAGGATGTGACAAAAGAAACACTTCGTGGCTTGTCCAGAAATGTTTTGTGCCAAATTCTGTAGTAGTCACCTGTCACCCACGATTGTATTTCCCGAATTATCGAATGCAAATTAGTACGGCTTCCTGTCGTGAGACTGTGCACATCATTTCTGAGGAGAGCCACCTCTTTTTTTGAGGTGCGCCTGTGTCTTCAGAGTCCCTCCACCATCGGGGAGGAAAGGCAGTACAATCCGTTCCTGCGCAGCCACGCGGCGGAGCTGCACCTGGCCCTCGGCGTCCAGCAGCTCCAAGATGAAGACTGGACCCAGTTCAGAGCTCGCGTGCTGGAGGAGCTGCGTAAATGCAAGGACCTGTTCAACCGGAGATCGTAGCTCAACGGCATTAAGAGGAAGTGGTACGTTGTATAGTGCCGATGAGCGGAGTGACGAGACACCGAATGAGAGGTCGACCTGTTCAGGGGAACTCGTTTGGTAAACTCACAAGGGCATCAAGTCATCTTTGACCTCTTTAACATAGTTACAACTTTATTTTTACATGGCACTAATCAAAAAGACTTACCTCTACATTTTTATAATAAGTAGTTTTTGTGTTTACAGACTGAACAGTGCTCAATTATTCCTCTGTTGCATAAACACATTTCTATTATTTCATTAGCAGATCCGTTGAGTGAAACCGCTCTGCCTGTTAGGTACTGTATTTTTAGTGCATCGTCTTTTTTTAAAATTATTTTTTCAAGTAATGCATTGTTAAATCACTTCATGACAGTTATGATTTTGGGACCTTAGTGATTGAGTATTTGTTTTTACTTTTAACTAGTATGGTACGGTTACTCTAACAAATCACCTCCTGCTGTTGGTACGACTAGCACCACAATGTACTGGGGGGAAAATGTCTGTTTACTTACCTTTCATGTGAATCTTTGCTGAATCTAAGAGCCAGTTTAGTTTTTGAATTTAGTTCTGTACAATGCTTGTTTGTGTTTGGAGTTCAGTGTTTATCGTTCTCGCCAACGTGTTCCATTTGACGATTAATTTAATCATTTTTTCTTTACTCTGGGGCCCACAGGTGTTTGGAGGTGGAAAACATGTTTTCCAATTCAACACTTGTTTGTACCTCTCGGCATATTCAAAGGGCAGAATGAGTACGATTGGCAGGCTTGGGGTTTGTAAACATAATATTCGAAGCTGACCCCCCCCCTCACTGGAGTTTAGGGATTTATGGTTATTGCAAGCGGGTAAAGCGCAGATCCCAGATTGATTGATTGGCTCTGAACGAGTTTTGTCCGCCCTGCGTTTCTCCCAGTTACATTTACGCGTTTATTTTCTGTTGCACGGCGAGAACATGAACAACCTACGAGGACTCTACTGGTGGCGCATTGTGACGATTTGTCATGTGAGCCCCAAGCTGAGCGTGTTAAACCTATGGGGGACGACGAACGCAAACACCAAAATGATCGAAACAAACGTGAAATGATTTTTCACGTTTGTTACAAAATGTGTAATATTTAAGAGTGAGACGGTGGAATAATGATACATTTTCTTTCTAAAGCGAGAACACAATGGACCGGTACTCTCATTTTAGAAGGAATATTTCACAGCCAATTTGAAAACTCTAGAAACTGTACATATGTATTTTTTTCTAATATATTGAAGGACACTTTACGCTGTGATGATATGGAGATTGATGCAAATGATTCCGGTACAATAAACAATCTTCTTCCCACACACCGCCTGTTATTTCTGTTGTTGTTTGTTGGAATGTGACACAGCCTGTGTTTTGTTGGAGCCGGGCCAGAATGCAAAGGAATAAACCTTTTTAAACCTTTGTGGAGCTACGAAGACTTTAGATTCCTCCGTTGCTCCTGCAGTAGTGCGCGTATCAAAGCGCCCCGTCCCCTGGTGATTGTTGACTAAAATGTTATTCTGTTTGTTTGATGCAGATTCACCATCTCATTTGCATATGTTTGAGTTATGAATACCACCACATGGGAGAATGTTTTACTTCAGGTTATGTTTTAATGAGGAGAAAAAATGAAAGTAAACTCCTTCATTAGAGGTGGGTGGGTGTTATTTGTTGTCTTTATCAATGTTCAAAACTGACTGAGTTATTTTTCCCACTGCTAAAACTTCCCTAAACTCAAACAAGAGCATAACCTACTTCATGCACATGCGAAAGCTACTCTAGAAAAGAAGGGTGAACTGAACTTTGTGTTGACGAAACAGGGTAATAACAACATGCTCCTCAGACCCGTGGGTCCAGGTGCTGGATTTCAAGTCTTCTGTACCAACCAGAGGGATCCTGATCAATCAGTCTTTTATTTCTGTGATGAGACCAATTGATCTTCTTGCTAACATTATAATGCCCTTTAATAGTCTAATTGTATAATGCACTAAAATACAGTGAGAAGCATTTGCTCCTGAAATTCACAATCTCTAAATACTTTCAGAAATATGTCATTATAAACCACCACCACAAACTACTGTCCTGACCACGTCCAGTCTGACGTGCTTCATTTGGAGTAATTATAAGTACTTCCACGGCTTGTCCAGCTATATCATATCGACATGTATGCTATGAAAAAGACTCATAACCAACAACACCCTCCTTGACGTTAGGCTTACATCCATTGTATTATTTACACATCAATGTGCACCTATACTTAGATAACAGTATTTGTTTGCTTTTGATATTTATTGTACATTTTAATATTTGTAATTAAAATATTCTTTCCGCTATTGTCAATTGATTATATTTTCAAACATATTTAGCTATGAACTGTTATATTTGTATGGATGTGACAAACTCATCAATTGACAAAATAGCTCAATTATTATTGATAATTTCCATTTCCTTTTGGATAGCTGTTCTAAAAAATAGTTTAATAACTTGATTCACTAATTCACCTGTATAACCCAAATCACGTCAGAGCCAAGGCTTTCCTAATCTCCTCCGCTCCATTTCAGTGACTCATTCCGCTCCGGGTTTTCATTCCCTTCCCCATGACGTCAGAACCCGGAAGTAGAAACGGAAATGCCGCACACACACACACACACAGCCGCAGGTAGTCTTCAGGCTGGACTTAGTCTCGTCACTAATCACTCAGCTTTTCGGTCAAGATGTTGAAGGCGGTTATTCTTATTGGAGGGCCCCAGAAAGGTGAGAATACGTCTCATCCCTGTCTTGTTTTCAGAGGCAGCTGTACTTGCTTCTAGGGAAGCTAAGTGGCTAATGCTAACGAGACCACACAGGACCGGGCCGGCTGTTTATATCCCTGACGTGGCATAATGAGGGGAAACACAAACACAAGAACATTTAAGACTTAACGTGTAAATATCAGCACGGTCAAGTATTACATTATGAATAAGTAAGTAATGCCTTAAATCCTGACTTTAGGACAGGATTCCTCCATAAAGATGATTAATATTTAGAGGAACCAAGTGAAGATATTACAGGAATTATCACTAAATCACTAAACGTTGTATCTATAAAGTTCAGGTCCAATGGTCCTCAAGGGCTAAAAGGTCTGTGTGAATGGTACTTTCAAATGACACATTTGCTTCAAGGATGTTTCTATCTACAAGTAGGAGAAAACATGATAATCATAATAGTTTAGTTGGGGGTTCTTTCCAGTGTTCACTAGAATTTAATCTGAATAGTGAGCTGATCCGTAAGTGATTTCCAACGTTGCTTTGCAGGCACGCGGTTCCGGCCGCTGTCCTTCGAGGTGCCCAAACCCTTGTTCCCAGTGGCCGGGGTGCCCATGCTGCAGCATCACATCGAAGCGTGTGCCAAGGTTACTAAATCAGTGTTAAACTCACAGTTGTACATTGCGTTTGTGATTCAGATCATGAAATCGGTCCAATAACGAGCATTTTTTGTGTTACAAGGTACCAAATATGAAGGAGATCTTGCTCATCGGCTTCTATCAGCCAAATGAAGAACTGACCAGATTCCTGCTCAATGCGCAGCAGGAGTTCAAGATTTCCATCCGGTAAGCAGCTAAACAAAATAGCTCTTAGCCATGTTAATTAACAAGTATACAGATCATTTATGGCAAAGATTGATATACTTCTCATATAAAGGGGGTGTTGGGAGTTATGAGAACTGCTAAGATGTCAACGTCACAGAGACATTTTCACTCTACAAGTCTTTTCCTGTTAACGTATTATTCATTAAAGTTATTCATCCTTTTAAGTTTGTTTTTAAGGTGTGGTACTTGCATATGAATGACTGCAGCTATGCTGTTCTCCCTGATTCCCTGATTCTCCACCCCAGGTATCTGCAGGAGTATGCAGCCCTGGGCACCGGGGGGGGGATCTATCACTTCAGAGATCAGATTGTTGCCGGTAGTCCGGAGGCCTTCTTTGTTCTGAATGCTGATGTTTGCTCAGCGTTTCCGCTCGTGGAGATGCTCAGCTTCCAGAAGGAACACGGGGAGCCAAACAGCTTCGTTATTCTGGGGACGACGGTGAGGGATCATTATTAACAGTTTTTACTTTATTTAATACGAAAAACTCCCCAAACCTAAAGTTTCTGTTATTTAGTGTGTTCAGTGTTTGGTGTATTAAATATCCGATCTCAGTTCCTAATTTGTCCTAATCTTCAACCAGGCGAACAGAACGCAGTCCTTGAATTACGGCTGTATTGTTGAAAACGACAAAACAAACGAGGTATTTAACGCTCCCGATTTTATTTCCCCAAATTGTCCCCGATTACTATTTCACGTTGGAAAAAAACTAATTTAATGAGTTCACTTTTTTTTTATTCAGGTCTTGCATTATGTGGAGAAGCCGAGCACGTTCGTGAGCGACATAATAAACTGCGGCATATACCTCCTGAAGCCAGACATCTTCCAGCACATCGGGGCCGTGTTTCAGAAGAACCAGCAGGACATGCTGCTGTGAGTCGGTGCTCTCCCTCGTGGGGGATGCGTGTGAATTCCACTGTTTCCATATCTTCTCTTCATTTGTCCTTCTTCCTTCCCTTCTCCCCCCCCCCTCTCCCCCCTCCGCCATGATTTCTGTTGCTCACGCGATCATCAGATATCCATACGATGGGTAAGTCAGGTGCATTTCGGTGGCACGGGTGTAGCTGTAGGGCACCTAGTGTGTGTGTGTGTGTGGTTTGGGCTGTAGAAAGACGCACACAGGCTGCCTGGTGAATGTTTTCCGTGCACCGCCTTTGCCAAGCGATGCACCCCTCGCTCTACGAGCAGCTTGTTTTCATTCATTTATTCATTAAAACAATTGTCCAAGAGATGGGCACTGCGTGTCGGCGGTTTACAGCGTAGTTATTATTAACTTTGTGCTGCAGAGTCAGATGACCTGTTGTTGTGCTTGCTGGCTGTAGCATCTAACTCAGGACGGAAAGGGAATAATATGTCCCCGAACCGTCCGAAGTCCTAAAGTAAAGCGCTAATTTGAGAGATAACATATGTGTTGGTAAAAAAACACCCGTTGTCTGGTATTAGCTTTGCAGTTTTGTTGTTTGTCGTCCTTGTTGTTCCCTTAGCAGAGACCTATTAGAAAGCTAGCACAAACTTGTGTTACAGCATGTTGTGTTGGTCTTCCAGCTGCACCCTGGTCACTCACAGACGGCATAAACACACATGGGATCGATTAATGGATTTTCCTTTCATCACGTTTTTGGGGGATTTGACACCCCCCCCTCACTGGGGTGTAGTAGATCTAGCATCGGGCACCGCAAGGACGCCTGAAACGTATTTCAAGAGGTCAAACCACCGTGCGCATCTTTCACCTGCTAACATCAATAGCCCCTAAATCAAGCCAGGCGCTGAATCAGCAGAATTATTGAACACATCAGAGATACTTGATGGGAACGGGATGGGTTAGACTTTTAAAGTCTCCGGGGGAGCCCTTCGCCTCGAAGCACATCCCATCCTTTTTGGTAAAACTTGCCATGCGTTCCTTGAAAAAATATTCTTTTCATCAATATTTAACGGTCTGTTTCATCTTGGGGCTCTCACAATAAACTATGCCAGAGCCCCTGATTAATATGGAGCACATGGACTCCGCTGCTTATGTTTTGGATCACTACTAGGTAATCAGCTTTGGTTTCAACCCGGCACTGACACCATCAAAGTTAGTATCACTGATGCATTTGAACTCACTCCTCTGATTTAATTCCAGGGGCCGGATTGCAGGGCAATAAATTGATGTTTTCTTCTGGCTTTAACGCAAACGTTACACTTCGCTAGGTTGGCTTTACAGAATTATCAAAGAAAATGTAACTGCAAGTCAGTAAAAAGGGAGTCGACTATTTTTGGTACACAGGAACACAGTCTGTTCGATTAAATTGTTCATAGCTACAGAGGGAGAACACTCTGTGTAGTGCTTAGGTTATCATATAGTACATACACACGAGGGCAATCAGGGGGCTTTATTTTTAAAAACGTTTAACTGTAACTAATTTAATCTCAAACGGACTCTGATAGTGGCCGGAGGTCGTAGTGAAATGTGACCAGAATGAATCTTATTTTCTGCTGATCTTTTTCTCTTTCTATAACATGTCTCTGCTTTCATCCTATCCCCTACCGCTGTGCTCAAGATTGTTTTTCCCCAAAAAAAAAAAATGCCCGCCTGCCATAAACTGATGGTCTGTCTCTTGCAGAGAGGAGCCGACCAACGGCTGGCACCGAGCGGAGGCCATCAGGCTGGAGCAGGACATTTTCACTGCCCTGGCGGGACGGGGAAAACTCTACGTGTATAAAACCCTGAGCTTCTGGAGCCAGATTAAGTCCGCAGGGTGGGTGCACACGTCATAAACACTTGTTGAACCTCGAAGTCGGTACAAAGGTCGGAGGGGAGGAGAGACACTGGATTTTTGGGTTTGGGCTTAAATAGGATTTTGAAAAGATTGGGTTGGGTCAGATTGAATACAGGTCAATCCTCAATCCTTTTGAACTGTACTGCACATTTCTAAAAGGGCCCATGTGATAATAACATTCTATATTTTGTTTTTTTCCCAGCTCTGCAATTTATGCCAGTCGGTTGTACCTCAATCAGTATCACACGACTCATCCTGAGAGACTGGCCTCAAACAAGGCGGGAGGGCCCAAAATAAGTGGTACGTTTTATTCCCCTCCCGCATCTTCATTCTTTCCTAATATTTGAAGAGGAATCTGTTCATGTTCCATCTCCGCTCCCCAGGTAACGTCTACATTCACCCCACTGCCAACATTGACCCCACGGCCATGGTAGGCGTCCCTTCCCGCTGCGCGTCCACCTCCAAGCGGCTCCTTCGTCAAATACACGCCAGTGTTATTGTGGCAAAACGGGGTTTAAATTGCTTTTCTGTTTTCTCTATCGACCTAGTTGGGACCCAACGTCTCGATTGGCACTGGAGTGACGATTGGTGCCGGGGTCCGAGTTCGGGAATCCGTCATCCTTCACGGTGCAACTCTTCAGGTGAAAAAAGGACCAGACACGCAGAAATGGATTGATTCGAAGGTTTAGGTTCAGTGAATAACGAGCAGCCGTCGCTTCAAATATCAGATCTTTCTCGCGCATGCTGAAACATTATCCACACTTCAACAGTGGCAGTTCCTAGAATTTATCTTTAAGGTCTTCTGTCACACCAGAAATATTATCTGCCAGTGCCTCGCTCATTTTTAACGATTTGGGGACCGGCTTCATTAAATCCGGTGTCTCCGGTGATCACCGGGTGCCTCTAAAATGAATTTAGACTGTGGTCGACTTATTGCCTTTCATTTCATACTGCCTCCATGGACAGTTTGTTAGTTGAACTATTCAGTACTTCTCAATTAACTTGTTTTCACAGGTGGTAGTTTTTTCTCTTGTAGGAATAGTATCTTAACACCCAAATGCAGGACTCTGTGGAAGAGCGTTTTATTGTTAAAAGGGATCAGGACGAAAGGTTGATGAATGAGAACGGGAATCCGGTGGAGTTTGGGGGCTTCCGGGGGGCTTCGACTGCTACACACTGCACATACGGACGTCCCGCTGGGGAAGGAAATGGCTTTAAAACACCTCCGCGCTCGGGCGTTTCTTCTGTAGGATCACTGCTGTGTGTTGAACAGCATCGTAGGATGGGACAGCACCGTCGGAAAGTGGGCCAGAGTGGAAGGAACGCCGAGTGACCCCAACCCCAACGATCCCTTCGCCAAGATCGACAGCGAGACACTCTTCAGAGAAGGAAAACTCACACCCTCAATCACTATTCTCGGTAAGTGGGCTGACTTTTCTTTTTTCAATTAGTGAATTCATAAAGGAAAATCTTCCCTTCCAAACATTGGCTGTTCCCCCTGGGCCTGTGCTGGGATCACTCAGCATTTGCCTAAAGAGCCATTTGTCTTAAAACATTCTTGCCATCATTGTCCTACCTGGTTAAGTAAATCTGCAGGGAGCATAATTGGATTACACAGCTGTCCATCTTTGATTGCATAGTGCTCATTGTTTTTATATAATTTGTTTAATTATGTTCAGCTCTTTTTCTACTGTTTCCTTATTCCAATGTACCAACTATGTTAAATGCATTCCATGAATACTGGAGGTGTCTAGATTGAAATGCAACATCTGCACGTCCTGTGTCCTGCGCCACGCAGACTAAACACAGCCTCTTTGTCTTCAGGATGTAACGTGACCATCCCCTCAGAGGTGATCATTCTCAACTCCATCGTCCTCCCGCACAAAGACCTCAACCGCAGCTTCAAAAACCAAATTATTCTCTAGTTAATCTCCCTCGTTCCGCCGCCCACTTACTGTCACCGGTGAAGGATGCGGCCGGACGCGGCCCTCTGAGTTACTGTATATAAGATGTCAAACCTGAAGGTGCGTTGGTTAAATAGTTTTGAAGGATAGATTTTTATATCTGTCCTCTGGCCCTTTACGCGTCGCTGGATGTCTCTCGGCATGAGAGAGAGGCTAATCACGCATGTTGATTCACCTTGAAAAGTGCTGTCACACACCACAGGTTGATATCGTTTTTTTTATTAACCGAACTGTAAAATAATGCAGACGCTGATGTAATATATTTGGTTGGATGTGGTGAGGGGGGGAGGAAAAGTTTACGGACAACAACGCTCTTGTTTTCTCAAGGGCGTCCTTGAGCGTGCGATACGTGATTATTACTAAATAAAGATGCCTGGATAATGGCTGTGGTTAATTTTTTTTTTTTAGAGGTTATTTTCGTGAAGGTCTGATTGAAAATGTTTAGCATCCTCATTGTTTGTCTCAAAAATTGACTACCACTAACATCAATCAGCGGGTGGAGATTTACATCGCAATCAAGTCGCGTTTCCTGTTTCCAACGCGAGCGCAGCGGGGGGGCTCCAGACGCCGCCACACAGACCGCAACAGCACACACTTGCAAATTGTGCATCTGCAATCACTGGAGGAACTGTTCCAATTTATGAATACGGCACATTAACATTTACTTATTAAGCCCCCGAGCACTCATGATCACTTCAGCACTTTTGTTCCAATTATTGCAGAGTGTCTATTAAGGAGCAATGTAAATTGTGGTGCAGGAACTGCAGCATAATATATTTAAATGAAGCCTTTTAACAAACTAGCCTCCAGTGAAGGGGGGTAGAGTTAATGTAAATTCAGTTTTCATGTTTATATCAGGTTTTTACACGTATGTGCCCGTGCTGCGTTTTGTTGATCGAGGTGCCTTGCTGCTCTGCCTCATCCTCATCGCGGGGTCTTCCTCCTCTTGGGAGGCTGTTCATGAAGCGGCTCGTCGAAACGGAAGGAAATCCTAAAGCCCATAACGTGAAAAAGGCTTCACACTACTCTGCTTTTGGTTTTCTTGTTTTGATTTTCATTTCTTTCTTAAATGTGCTTGTGATTCTTTTATTTTAGTCTTAAACAAGAGATCTAATCGGTGACGGAAGCAGGATGTTGCTCATGTGAGCTGATGGTGCATGTGACCCCTTTCTTATAGTGTGTTGAAAATGTCATACTTGTCTTGTATATGACGTTAGGGGAGTTTTTCTTCAACACCACGTTCCTTTTTGTTGTTTTAAGAACGGAATGAGTCCCACGCAGCTAAGAACAGTTTGAAACCAGAGAAGACCACATAATAAAAGTTCACAACTCTTATTTGTTCTGCTATTCTCTTTATTTCCTCCACACCACGGCGATATCTTTGTGTAAGCAGCCAGTGTGTGTACTGCTAAGCACGGCACACACTGACAGGGAAGGACAACAAGTCGTACCGAGACACAATCTCAATACAAAACCAAGCATCTTGCTCTGTTTGACATTTCTCATGACTATAATACCCACAAACCATCGCAGGATATGTTTAAAATCATCAGTTTCTCAGTGTAGGTGTTCGGTACATTATGACAGGCCTCTTGTAAACGAAGCGTGAGGAGAGCCGCGGTGTCTTCATCACGATTGTCCGGCGAGGACACGTGGCTTCTGTAACTAGAATGGGCAATGATGCTGATACCACAGGAAGGGCTTCCAAGGTCGCTGCCTTTGACGTAAATCATTCCTGTCGCGCGGTAATTTGAGGTAAAGTAGTTTTCACTTTGAACGAAGGTGTATAAAACAAACAAAATAAAAAATAAATTGCTGTTGACCCGCCGCAGTGTTGGCCGTCGGTCCGGGGATGTTTTCCACGTGAGTGGACAGGTGGAGGGTTTGTGGGTCTCTGCACTGAGAAGAAGATGGCGTCCACCGGAAGTCTCAAGCACTGACAAACAACGTGTCGGATCGAAACCGACGTCTCGCCGCAGCCCAAGTTCACACGATAAAGGGAAATGGCGTTTGGCTGTCGGGCATCGCCCGGTGAATACTGATGTTGCGCTAAACTGCGCGCGGAAACTTCAAAGAGCGCCAGTTCCTGTCTGTTTGTCCCACAAATGTTAAGTCAGACTTTTTGACTTCTGACTTTGATCAACTCACCTCCGCGTAGGAGAGTTTAGGTTGTTTTCATGTAGCATCAGTTACAGTTTTTTTGAAATGCAAAGCCATGAAGTTGAATGCGGTTTGATTAAATCCCAATATTCATGTTGTGTAACTCCATTTGTTTCTTTTGTGCCCTTTTCACTGCATGCTTTGGTGAGTTTAATACCGAGGAGTTAAGCCAAGCTGGAATCCAGTCTTAGTTCCACTTCTCAGCAGAATGAGCTTTCATAAACTCCGCTGCTCTCTCGTCGGTCAAATAAGGATTTAACACAAACAATGAGAGAAATCCTTAAATGCGAAGCAGTGCGACTGCACCAACATGTTAAGTTTTGCGGCGATAGACTAGTTGTGTAATGGGTGACCGCGGTGCACGGAGCAGAGCGGGTGCTCACAGGGTCGATGGTTCAAACCCGAGATGCCCCATGTTCAATTCAAAAATCAATTCAAAGTGCACTGAATAGTTCCTTGCACGTAGCAGTGAGGTTGGCCACTGTGTTATACATGTTCACTGGGTTCACCAAAATAGTGGTTCAAGCAAGGGCGCTGGAAGAAGAGCGTTAGACCCAATTTTAGCGCATTTGCTGTTCAAGCACGCGTCCATGTTGAGATTCCAGCAAAATAGTCTCCAGCTCGAAAGTTCTCAAGTGGAAAGCATCATATCCATTTGCAAATTACACTTCTCTGGCAGGTTATTCCCCCACAATCCTTTAAGAGTACGATTATTTTAATGCATTGTCGGGAAACCCTCAAACACTCTAGTTATATGATGTGTTTCTAGCCCAACAGCAACAGCAGAGGTGAAAAAAGTGGAAAGGAAAGATGAGTGACCTCCACACACTGGCCTCATTTAGCTTACAATAACTGCATTTCAACCACAGGGATACAAACTCAGAAGAGCAAGAAACAGCAATTTCATCAAAATAAGCCAATTTACAATTTGCTATAAATAAGTGGCATTATGAGTATAATTTAAGTGCTAAAATGTGTTAGTCTTTTAGTCGAGGTGTTGATGGAACCAGTTAGACCAGACACATAACAAACAAGTGCCTACGAGTCTGCTACTGATCAGGAAGTCCGCGGGGCTGAAAAACTGGTTTACAGAAACAGGAAAAGTCAGTAAACACAGCTGCCAAAGATAATAGATGCGATAGAACACAATGCCTACTAGATCAAGTGTGATGCAAGTGGCGTTATTATTATTATTAGTCATTTTCTACTTTTCTTCAAGATTCGAAGATGAGAATTTTCTGGCTATTATTTGATGCTTTGAATTCAAAATGCATTTTCAAAAAAAACACTTTTTTAGCAGGCTGCGTAGACGACAACATGCAGACTCTTCATTAAACAATCCTCATTAGCTTAATAATACCGTGTCATAAAACAGGTGAGGCCGGCAGTAAAAGCACAGGTGTTGCTGATATCATCACTAATTGGCTCACGCTCGTTAAACGGCCCGCTGGCGACAAGGGAAAAGGGAGGGAAGCCATCATTCGGCCAAACGTTATGCTGCCGAGAAATAGACTTTTATTTCATACAATATGAATAGCAACAAATACAAAATACTACACAAATGAACATGAGAAAAGACATGCAGACAAATAGCTGTTTTACTCGGTGTTACCTGTACACACATGAAACGTACCTGTCGTATTGGCCTGTGCACAGTTTCGTCATCATCACTTAGATTGTTCCTGATGATGTGACCCAAATATCTCACTTCAGGCACCACGTTTAGTTCTTTGCCTCCCACGAAAAAACAGAGGAAAAAGTAGCCATGCATTCATGACAACAGACAGGTAAAGTCAAATCATTGTGCTCTGCATAGGGATTTCTTCTTTTAATCAGTCCATAAAAATTATCATTCAGCGGGAATTGCGTAACCATGAATGAAATATTGTATTGAGCTTGCTCCTAACTAGCTGCCTTCCAAAATCTTTATTATATAGAGCAAACAAACCCAAACAAACAATCTAGCAGATGTGCCTGAAGCTCTTTGGCCAGAATGCAAGTGTCCCAGATGTTCCCTCACGTTGAAAAAGCCAAACAGCAGCTTTGATTAAGTAACAGGGTCGAGCAGGTTATTCTTAAATCACACACTGTGAAAGGCTCCTGTGACCATTTGATTAGCGTTTTTTTACTGGTCACATTGATGTCACGTTTGTGTAATCTAATGTCAGACTCCATTCCGTAGAAATAGTAAACACAAAGTCACACTCAAGAAGATGCCTGTGAGTAACCACTGAATCCAGTGGAGAGCAGAAACGCCAGGCAGCCGTGCAGCTTAGTGAAGCCTCGATAATGTGGGGCTGCAATGCTCCCTGATTTATGCAGCGGGGTAGATGGTCCAAATGTATCCTCCTGCAATATTTATTAGACATGCACACCATCACTCTGCATTTTGGATGCAATGGTTGCAGGTGGACAGAGCGCATTGCATTGCATAGCGCAGACCTGTCAAATGCACATAATGGAGGATGGCAGTGTGATCATTTGCAGTATTTCCATGGCATCATCATTTTGCACACTGTACATCTGAGATTGAGGCGTCTGAGGGAACACTCTGTCCTGGGGGGTGCGGGGAGGTGGATGGGGAGGGGGGTTACTCCTGCCATCAGACTGCTACTGCATTAAATCAAACTTGTGTATGTGTATGTATTTATGTTTACTAACGCATTAGCTTCCCGGGTTAGCATTAGCTGGTCACTCCACTAGAATGGACCACAGACTGTGATCATGTGTTCCAATGGAGTCGCCGTGATCTTCACAAATGAGTTCACAACAAACGCAAACTACCAGAACACACAAACCTATAAATTACTGTGTTTTCGATAACTCGTTGAACTGAATAAACCACAATACTGTGACTTCACCAGTCACACGGTCTTTTGGAGGGATTGTATGAGTGTAAACCTGCAGATGTTTGATGTGATTCTAACATTCAGCTCATGATGAAGCTCTTTTCCTTCGTGGTCTGCTGCAACAAACTCGCTCAAAATCCACATGAACTATTTAGTAATGGTGGTTCTGTGCTAAGTATAGTAGAGTCAAAGTAGAGTCCTTTAAGGCCATCATGGTACATTTCACACCACTGCACAAACCTTGCTGATTCCAGACCAGTACTATACAAATCCTACTGAGAGCAAGTTAGCCGCTGACGTTGCTGTTTGAAAAAGAAACCCTGCAACATCTACAAGCATTAAGATGACCTGTTTTTTGTTTGTTTTTTGTTTCACGGACAGTTGTTTTCCCGGATCTCCAGAGGTTCCCCCTGCTGTCGGGTTCTACACCCTCCCCCCCATCCCCCCCGGTGGGGCTGAGTCACGGTGCAGTGCAATTACAGGTCGGACCAGAGTGTCATTTCTTATTGATGTGAACTCCTGCTTCCTAAACTAGAGCTCGTGCTCAACATTACTCTTTGTCAAAGGAAAAAAAAATGACACGGTGCATGTCGCTGCCCCCCAGTAGAGGGCACTGTGGGTGTTCATGAAGGCCGGACCTGTCTGTCTGTGACCCCCCCCCCCCCCCCCCCCCCCATCTCTCCACTCCCCCCTCCACCCCTTGATTACAGTGTTTGAGCTGTTGTGTTCGGTAGACTTTGTGGCACTCTGTAAATAAGATTCAAGGAGTTGTTTCCCCCCCTTCACTTACTTCTCCCATTCTCTGTTCCCCTGTAAACCACAGAAAACACACCACACATTAAAACACATCCCATTTCTTATTGATCTATAGTAAACCTTTGCAGAAGATGAGAAGGTGGTGATCCTGGCGCCGGTGTTTGCTGATGTACTCACGAGGAGTTTTATTTCACGGACATGTTGATTCAGACATTTAAACATCTCTATATAACAAACATATTTCTCATGGCTCATTCTACTGCATTTTTTGCATTGTTAATAACAAACAAATTTAATATAAAGATGTGTATGAAATTGATTGAACAGCATTTCAGCATGAAATTGATTGAAATAAGAATTAATACACCAAAGAGTTCTTGCAGGTGAGTCACTTTCTCTACTTTCATCATCCAGTCTATTTAATGCTTTCTGTTGGAGTTGTATTAATGGATCTTTTGTGTAGAGTCATTTGAGATTCATCTCTTTCCTTTGCATTCACTCTACCCTCCTACTCTTCTCCTATTGCGTCCTGATTTACACACACACACATACTTTTCACTGGCGTCCTTT